GATATTTCAAAGTATAAGATAATAATGTAAAGACACAATTCTTTAATAACACCTCTATATTAACTTTAGAGGATTAATGGGTTAGGATAAAACAGAAATAATCAATCAAATAAATAATCCTATTCCTAAAATATGAATAATCAATTAGCAATGAGTCATGAGTAGTAAGCTTCAACTATTAAACTGCAAACCAGTAGTAAGAGGGGGAAGAAAAGGCTTGTTGACCTATCAGCTCCCTCTAGGCCACCGAAGCGTAATGGTAGATGCAGAAAATTATGGAAAAGTATACTCTGACATAAATACAGTAGATATACGTATCCTAATTTGAATAACAATGGCTTTAGAATAGAATGGGGGTCCCTTTAACTAGAGATTGCAACTAGTCCTGTGATGTTTAAAACTCCTGACATGGTGGTGTCCTTTGTCTTCTGCTAGCAATGGTGGGGCCTGTAAACAGTAGAGAATACTGGTAATTCAATAAAGTTAAACAGATAGGTTGTGATACTGCTCAAAGCAAAGATCTTCTTATACTGATGTAAAGATGTGTGCATGCAGTGTCTCTATTGTGATGACAGAAATAGGTTGGGCATCCACCCGCTCACCAATCCCATGGATAGCACAGCCTTCTAGGAACAAGAGTTCTTGCACAGGCTCTTGGCAGTTTGTAGGGATGTGCAGAGTTGCTACCTGACAGCCTGTCAGCCCAGCATGCAGAAATGTCTGTGTGAAGACCGGATAGTGATAGTCCCCATGCAGAGAAGCTGATGTGATCCCAGTTTGGATATTGGTGTCACCGCTGTGCTGATCTGATGTGCAGCAATAAGCCAGAAATCCATCTCTGGAGAATGGCAGTCCCCCTGTGTTTAGCTCTGAATCCTGTGCCATGACAGTAAGACAGTTCCTTGCTGTAGAATATGTCTGCTCTCCCAGCATCCTTCTGGTTCGCAGATCTCTGATGGGTGTAGTTCAATCAGCACTCAGGAATACAGGATGTATTGGCTATTTGACTACTTGTCCCAAGATCATCTGCTGTCAGAAGAACTGGATCCACTCTGCTAACAGGAAGTGATGTAGGAGTCCCAGTACTGGGCACTAGGGGGGAAAAGGTGTAAACATAGTCTCATCTGTAAATGTCCCTGAAAGGCATAATGATATAGCCGGCACCTGACTACATAGACATTAGGGGGCGAGGGGGACTGCAGCACACAGGTTTTCTTATCTGCATGCATGGAATGCATGCAGGTAAAAAGAACTTGAGCCTTTACAACCACTTTAAAGAGGACTTTAAATGTTTGCCTATCTATACACTAGTGGATGTTGTCACCTTCAAAATAGCCCCCATGTGAAGCAACTCTAGATGACTGTTCCACTGCTGGTAACATTCCTGGAATTTGTTTTCCAGAATGCTGTCATATCTTTGTCATGGTGCATCCGGAATGTCATCAAAGCTGCGTACTTTTAAGGCATTGAAAGAGCCAAAAGTCAAAGGTGATAAGTCTCGGGAATATGGTGGTTGGTCAAATTTTGGAATGGTTTTCTGGGCCAGGAACTCACAAACACTTAATGCCATGTTTTATCACTGGTAATAACCTGATCAAACACCTCTGCATTCTTCAAAAGATCAGATGTAATTCAAAGACTACATTATTTCTGATGTTCTCTCCAGATTCTAAGCACCATCTTTGCGTTAATCTTTCTCGTTCCCAAATTCTCATTTAGATTCTGCCGCACTGTTTCCCTGTTCATGTTCAATTGTTCAGTCTTCGATCTGAGTGTACAAGGGTTTGCACTCTGTCCACATTTGCATCTGTTGTTTGTGTTTTTGGCTGCCAACTTCTTGTGTCATTGTGGACATCTTTCTGCCCCTCCTTAAACCGCCTATGCCATTCATAAACACTTGATTTCTTCATGGCATGTTCACCATAAGCCTGTTGTAACAGAGATTAGGTTTCACTCACACTTTTGGCAATTTCTTACACAAACTTTTATGTTAATCCACTGCTCCAGATTCCTGTCACTCGTTTTCTCTCCAACAGTGTAACACATGTTATTTTTTCTACTACTCCATAAAGACTGAGTCAACTGGTCTGAGACCCAGGGGAGTGCAAATTAGAACGTCAGAACATGCTTGAGTGTGAATGGCTGTGTGATCCACTGCCATAGTGCTACTCCGCGGGAATTCCAGGAACCAAATTGTCACACCTTCTGTGTGTGCGTGTGTGTGTGTATATTTTTATATATATATATATATATATATATATATATATATATATATATATATATACACACACACACAGTGCTCAGCATAAATGAGTACACCCCAACAGATTTGTCGGAAAACCTTTACTTTCTTTTCAGAATCAACATTTTCTATGGGACACTATACTACAAATTACTCCCACAAATGTGGACCATTCATAGCAAACAAGATTTGTTAATTGGCACACACAAAAAAAGTATTTTTCCTAACAAATTCATTCAAGACCTTGTTGTAAACATGAATACACCCCAGTGAAAATCTTAGGGGCAAAGCTTAATTTTTGACAACAAATTCCTATTTAGTAAGAATTCAACTACAGGTGAATCTAATTATTCATTAAACCGGCGTCCAGCAGACAGTTGATTCTAAAAGGGCATTACTTAACAAGGAAAACCCCTTCCCATTTCATGTTGTCAGCAATGGCCCTATATGGAAGAGAAATGTCACAAGTCCTGAGAATAAAATTAATTTCTTTACACAAGAAAGGTGAAGGCTACCAGAAGATCAGCAAAGGTTTACTTATCAGAATACTGTAGCAAAAGGGATACAAAACTTTCACAAAGATGGAACTGCAACCATCTCACAGAAACATCCAGGCCTTCCACAGCAGTTAACACCTCAACAGGGGCATCCTATGATAGGAAGGGTTGAAGACAATCGTCATGCAAGTTCACTGCAGTTAGCTAAAGAAATAGAAAGCCAAAACTGGGGTGATTGTTTCCTGTGACACAATACAGCGTACACTGCAGAGGAATGGCATGCATGAGTGTCATCCACAAAGGAAGCCTCTCCGAAAGTCCATACACAAAAAATCTTGCCTAGAATTTTTCAGGGCCCATGCTGAAAAAGAAGACTACTGGGACTCTGTACTCTGGAGTGATGAGACCAAGATAAATGTTTTTGGAACTGTATGGGGTCGCAAAGGTTAGGAGTACAAAGAAAAATGCATGGTGCCTACAGTGAAACATGGTGGTGGCAGTGTCCTTCTGTGGGGCTGCATGAGTGCTGCTGGTGTCAGGGAGCTTCATTTCATTGATGGTATCATGAATTCACAGATGTACTGCTCTATAATGAAAGAGAAGTTGCTACCATGCCCTTAGTCGTCATGCACTTTTCCAATATGACGATGATGCAAAACACACATCTAAGGCCACTGTTGCATTTCTGAAGAACCAGAAACGAATTCTCAGCGCTCTAGGACCCAGGCAGGTGGCGGATGGATGGAACCAGACCCGGAAAAATCGACCACCAGTGCATATAGAGTTGTGCAGCTCCGAGCAAGGCTGAAGAACAACAGGGTGAAAGTGATTCAGAGGCCAAGTATGTCTCCTGATCTGAAACCAATTGAACTCCTATGGGGAATTCTGAATAGACAAGTTGAGCATCACTCAACTTGTAAAAAAAGATAGATGTTGCAATATGTCACCAACTTGTTCATTCCATGCCTGGAAGACTTGTTACTGTCCTTACAAATCATGGAGGTCATGCAAAATACTAAATGTAGTAGTTTTTGTTGTGGGGTGTATTCATTTTTGCATCAACTAATTTGGGGAAAGCTGAAGATTTTATAAGCTAAGTTATATTGTTAACCTTACTTTCATGTAGTGAGCTAAACAAATGTTCTATAAAACTCAGTTTTGTCAACATTTTGGAAATTGTTCTTGTGTTCATTGAGATATTGAATAAAACCTTACTGTTCAAAAGGAAAAGGGGTGTACTCATTTATGCTATTGGGATGCCTGCCTTTACACGCACATGAACTTTAATGGCATCCCAGTCTTAGTCCGTAGGGTTCAATATTGCATTGTCCCACCCTTTGCAGGTTCAACTCTTCTGGGAAGGCTGTCCACAAGGTTTAGGAGTGTGTCTATGGTGATGTTTGACCATTCTTCCAGAAGCGCATTTGTGAGGTCAGGCACTGATGTCGGACGAGAAGGCCTGGCTCACATTCTCCGCTCTAATTCATCCCAAAGGTGTTCTATCGGGTTGAAGTCAGGACTCTGTGCAGGCCAGTCAAGTTCCCCCCCCCCCCAACTCATCCATGTCTTTATGGACCTTGCTTTGTGCACTGGTACTCAGTCATGTTGGAACAGGAAGGGGCCATCCACAAACTGTTCCCACAAAGTTGGGAGTATGAAATTGTCCAAAATGTCTTGGTATGCTGACACCTTAAGAGTTCCCTTCACTGGAATTAAGGGGCCAAGCCTAACCCCTGAAAAACAACTTTACACCATAATCCCCCCTCCACCAAACTGGCACAATGCAATCAGGAAAGTACTGTTCTCCTGGCAACCACCAAACCCAGACACGTCCATTGGATTGCTAGACAAAGGCAGGCCATAGACGGGCCGTTTATCGGTCGGCCCAGTTGCCGATGCTGCTACCCATGTCCACAAAAAATGTCTGTTTTTTTGCGGATTTTCCAGCATGACCGATAAAAATAAATGAGGAGATCCGCGAAAAATGGCTGACGGGCTGGCCCCACTAACTGCGTGATTATTGGCCGATTTTTCGTGTGCGGACGAAAATTCGGCCAATAAGCAACATGTCTATGGCCTGCAAAAGTCCAGTGGCAGCGTGCTTTACACCACTGCATCCGACGCTTTGCATTGCACTTGGTGATGTAAGGCTTGGATGCAGCTGCTCGGCCATGGAAACCCATTGCATGAAGCTCTCTACACACTGCTGTTGGGCTAATCTGAAGGCCACATGAAGTTTGGAGGTCTTTAGCTATTGACTTTGCAGACAGTTGGCGACTTCTGCGCACTGTGCGCTTCAGCATGTGCTGACCACGCTGTCATTTTACGTGACCTACCACTTTGTGGCTGAATTGTGGTTGTTCCCAGTTGCTTCCACTTTGTCTAATATCACTAACTGTTGACCGTGGAATATTTAGTAGCAAGTAAATGTCATGGATCAATTTATTGTACAGGTGGCAACCTATCACGATACCACGCTGGAATTCACTGAGCTCCTGAGAGCGACCCATTCTTTCACAAATGTTTGTTGAAGCAGTCTGCATACCTAGGTGCTTGATTTTATCCACCTGTGGCCATAGAGGTGATTGGAACACCTAAATTTAGTAATTTGGAGGGATACACAACGCAATCATTTTCTTGCCAGAAACAAATATGGCCGCCGCAGTTTCATGCACTTTTGACGTCCTATACGTTGCCTGCCGTACTTTGCAGTTACGGCGACGGAGGAAAGAAAGAGGCGCGTGACGTCAGCACGTTGCCGTAAAGTGCCAGGCAGCGTGTGTAGCCGGTGAGTAGAGGGAGATTTGTGTGTAATGTGTGCCGGTTGCCGCTGTATTCATTGTACAGGCGGGAGTGTACCGGAGGTGCTGGGTTTGGGGGATCTATGTCGGTGAATGCGGAATAAAGAGGACCTGTAAGCAATAAGCCATTTGTTCACATTGGACCCTCTCTATGGTACAGGAAGTAAACAGTGTGTGGTCATGAATCGTCTGTAAATCTCGGTAGATGGCTTGTAGTGCCCGGGACACGACCTGCACTCACTATCACAGTGCTGGGTGTCTGGGATAAGGACCTAGTATGGGGGAGGGGTGCTGGACATTCACTGATTTGTGTATAGGTTGGTCCTGGAGGGGTACAGCCGGCCACACACCTTACATCCTCATTGTACAATCTCCTTTATGTCATACACGATACAATCTGATTGTACAATCTCCATTACATTTAGGCCCCATTCTCTGGGGGTGCAGACATGCGTCTCCTGTGCGGGACCGTCTATTACCAGCAGGGATGTACAGCTGTTGTGTGTGGATCCCTGAGCCCATACAGGGCGCATTCGGGGACCCGCACCCACCCGCCTGTTGTATTAGGACACAGTAGCTGTTCCCATGCCGTTGCACGTCCCCATAGAAATGAATGGGACGCAGGTACAGGGATGCATGAAACAGATGTGCACCCCCTGCTGGTAAAAGACAGCCCTGCACAGGTGACGCATGACTGCACCCAATGTGAAGGGGCCCTTATGAGAACTATGTGATAGGTGTACACAGCCAGACATTCCCTCCAATTTGTAGCGGCCCTGCACTTCATAGCTGATGTAGATTGTGCAATCACATTGTATAGTGTGTGTGGTCAGCTTTGGGTTGTTTTTCAGGAAGAATGTTTTCAGAGATCTAGTTCATTAAAACGTAAACTTACTGGACTGCTTAAGAAGGACATGTGTTACTTTGTATAGACATTGTACAATCAGATTGTGATGTGTGTGGGCAACATTTGTATATGTGAGCATTGGGGACATAAGATTGGAAACTTCAACTGAAGTGGTGTGATGTCAGATGATCTCCACATTGCTGTGTGGACACCCCTGAACCGTTCAATTACAGCAACCCTGTACTACAGGACACAATACAGGTTCATGGTAATGGCTTGGTACACTAGCAGTAGGAGCTTCCACTCTGAAAAGTGATCTGAGCGTGGCTATGATAGGCGATATGTCACCTCCTGTTTGCAACCCCTAAGTGGCTTAATACAGCTCCAGAAGCTTGTACATTGATGTGTGGAGACCCCTGGACCGTTTCACTTACAGCATTCCTGTACTACAGGACACACAGTTGTGCTGTAATAGCTGATTTACACTAGCGGCAGGGACTTCTCCTCTAAAAAGTGAGCCATGCTCGGATCCAGGGTTTAACAAATCCTAGGCGCCAAGTTGCCATGGCAACTAGAAATTGTGGCATGACGACTAGAAATTGTGTCCTGGCACCTGTGTTCACACATTGCGTCCCGTTGGCTTCCATGCAGGATGACGTCCATTGGCTTCCGTGAAGGATGGCATTCCATTGGCTTCCGTGAAGGATGGCATTGCATTGGCTTCCGTGAAGGATGGCGTTGGCATTGGCTTCCGTGAAGGATGGCGTTCCATTGGCTTCCGTGAAGGATGGGTTCCATTTGGCTTCCGTGCAGGATGGCGTCCCATTTGGCTTCCGTGCAGGATGGCGTCCCATTTGGCTTCCGTGCAGGATGGCGTCCCATTTGGCTTCCGTGCAGGATGGCGCCCCATTTGGCTTCCGGGCAGGATGGCGTCCCATTTGGCTTCCGGGCAGGATGGCGCCCCATTTGGCTTCCGGGCAGGATGGCGCCCCATTTGGCTTCCGGGCAGGATGGCGCCCCATTTGGCTTCCGGGCAGGATGGCGCCCCATTTGGCTTCCGGGCAGGATGGCGCCCCATTTGGCTTCCGGGCAGGATGGCGCCCCATTTGGCTTCCGGGCAGGATGGCGCCCCATTTGGCTTCCGGGCAGGATGGCGCCCCATTGGCTTCCGTGCAAAAACTCCCGTCAATAGCAATCCTATGTGAACACTTATCTCCGCATACACTGTCGCATCTGTGTGAACCACCTTAATAGGAACACATAATATCTATCCTGTCATGTGAATCGTGGCATGACGACTAGAAATTGTGTACTGGCGCCTGTGTTCACACATTGCGTCCCATTGGCTTCCATGAAGGATGGCATTCCATTGGCTTCCGTGAAGGATGGCATTCCATTGGCTTCCGTGAAGGATGGCACTCCATTGGCTTCCGTGAAGGATGGCACTCCATTGGCTTCCGTGAAGGATGGCACTCCATTGGCTTCCGTGAAGGATGGCACTCCATTGGCTTCCGTGAAGGATGGCGTCCCATTGGCTTCCGGGCAGGATGGCGTCCCATTGGCTTCCGGGCAGGATGGCGTCCCATTGGCTTCCGGGCAGGATGGCGTCCCATTGGCTTCCGGGCAGGATGGCGTCCCATTGGCTTCCGGGCAGGATGGCGTCCCATTGGCTTCCGGGCAGGATGGCGTCCCATTGGCTTCCGTGCAGGATGGCGCCCCATTGGCTTCCGTGCAAAAACTCCCGTCAATAGCAGTCCTATGTGAACACTTATCTCCGCATGCCACTCTACTGTATCGCATCTGTGTGAACCACCTCAATAGGAACACATAATATCTATCCTGTCATGCGAATCTCTGAGTTTGAAAATGCAGACAGAATTGCATGTGTGTGAACCAGAGTGGCTCCATTCACACCTGGGCATTTTGGGATTGCAGCAGAATCGCTGTGATCGCAAAACGCAGGTTGAAGTGCCAATACTTTCATTGGCACCTAAAACGTGGTGCGGTTTTGCCGTGATTGTCGCACGGCAAATCACACCGTGTGCAGCTTGTCACCCAAAAGTTGCCTTGCCTCGGGCGCTGACAACCCACACTAAGCTAAAAAAAAAAATTGGCCCTTAATTTTTTTGTCTGGCTCCTAGATTCAAAGCACATTTGTCAAGCCCTGTTCAGATCACTTTTCAGTGGAGTTTGACAGGTTGTGAGCAAGCAATATGTCGCCTCCTCACATCCTGTTTTAAACCCCTACATGCCATACTGCAGCTTCAGAACTGTGTACACAGCACGTTGCGGAGTGGCCCCATTCACGTTACAGTCTGCAGGCGGTAGTGCCCACCAAATATGATGGGGTGTAACTTATACAGTGCCTGTGCAGCAAAGCATTGCAGCCATGGCATGTGTACACCCCAATGCCTTTGCAGAGGAAGCGGTTGAGGTGGTAAAAATTAAGTGTAGCCATGTGTTTTTTATGCCCAACCGTAAGGGTAAACGAGCCCAAAAAGATTAGTTTGCTTTTCTGATCACATTTCATGCTATACTCACATAAAACGTATAACTAAAGGCAACATTTTTTTTTTAATGGAAAGGGATTAGAACACCTGTCAGTTTTTATTGCTGCCTGTGCCCCTTGTTAGGGAGATTCGCCCTCTCGAATTGTCATGTTTACTGTTATCAGAAGTGAAAGAAAATCCTAAAATTTGGGTTGTCACTAGAACAGGAATTGAGGGAAAATTTTCCAATGGAGAGAACTAGGGATTCCTTTCACTTTGCAGGGATTTCCTCTCACTTCCTGTTTTGACTCTAGGACAGGAAATTAATGGAAATCTCCACAATGGGACACAGAGGACAAAAAACCCAACAGGGGTTATCACCCTCCTTTACGTTATCCAAAATAGAAAAAAAAAATCAGTTTTACCTTTATTTCTACCTAAAGATAAACCATGGTCACGTTCCCCAACCCCCCCCCCCCCTCCCAGAAACCTCTGTTTGCATTTGAATTTGGTGCTGCTGTGCAATCTCACCCTACACAACTGGGTCAAATGTTCACAGAAATCTGCAAATGGAAAGTAAGAAATGACTACAAATGACATCTGCCACTGTGGCAGAGGGACTCACGGATCACACCAGCACAGGTACAGGGACTTCAATGCTCTTGTGCTCCATTGATTACTTCCTCCAGCTCCATGACGGTAGGTCCATACCTGTGTACAAACCTGGCGCTGAGATGTAAACCTAATGCTCTGCAGGCTTCAATGCAAAAATGAAATCAATGCATGCTTTAGTTTCTTTTAATGTGGGTGCATTTATTCAATTTTTGCAAAGGTTGGCTATGCTTTTAGGTCCCTTTCACGCAGGGTGGACTTAATTTTGATCTGCAGAGGATCTGTCTGCCGATTCCCAGCTGATCAGATCAGAGCAGAGCGAGTAGATGACGGATCCAGGTTGGCCCAGTTTATGCAAAGCAAACACAGCCTGCTCTGTCTATGGGTGGCTGGGTGTAAATGGAGCCCTCCGTTTACACCCGACTGCCCACCGATTTGATCCACCTAGATAGATCGAATTGATCCCCTTCTTCTTTTTTTTTTTTAGCGGATTGGCAGGTTTAAAGAGATCCAAGCCTGTTTACACCCACCGATCTATAGGGGTGAATGTACTGTCTGTTCAGGTCCGCTACAAAAACTAACAGGTGGACCTGATTGGACCCTTGCGTTAAAGGGGCCTTAATGTCCCAAAGATTATGACAGCAATTTACTAAGACTGGAGCAAATAGAATCTGGAGCAGTTGTGCATGGTAACCAATCAGCCTCTAGCTTTCATTTTCATAGCTTACAGCCCAGGATCAGTTTGTGATTATTGGATCAAAAAGAAAATCCCTTGCTACATGTCTTAAGCCACTGTTGAATGATGCAACAGTCCCTAGTTTTCTCTTTTGGTTATTTCCTACTTTGGTCCTTCTAGTCTACACTTCTTATTGGATATCCAGCAGCAGGGACTTCTCAGGATTCAGAAGAGGACTGATATCATCACGGGGGGCAGTAGGGGGACCGGTGATCTGGGGCTTCATTCGCACCGCTGGATTCACTATCCCTCGTACCTGGAACTGGCAGCGGCAAGAGGGACCTGGAATGGGGGAACATGGGTAAGTATATATGGCTTCCTAAGGTAAGGGAGGGGAAAAATGTCTGGTAGGATGTGTTAGTTTGGTAAAAAATAGTTTTAGCCCAGAGTGGGAAATTACCTGAAGAAACTGACTGGTTTCCATGCTCCAGTCTTAGTGAATTCAACCCTCTGTCTTTAATGTCACAAAAGGGACTCTTGTTCTGCTCTGATTCAGCGGGAAATCGGTTCATGTATCTCATGTTGATTGGAATGTACACCGTCCAAGGGATAGGACCCTCATGAATAAGCAGTATGTAAATTGCTGTTACATTGTATTTGTTGTGTTGTGATTTTTCTTCACTTTGTATTACACTAATCACGCTTTATGCTTGTCTTCAGCTTTAGAAAGAATTGAAAAAAATGGATATCCGGCCGAATCATACGGTTTATATTAACAACTTGAATGATAAAATTAAGAAGGATGGTAAGGAAAGTTCAAGCTTTAATGGAAAGGGGATCTGTAGTTTATATATATTATTTTGCTTTATTATGTTCAGGACTAAAATTAACCTTTACAAAATATTTTTGTTTTAGTTTGCTAAATATGAATATTTCAGGTTTCCTATTTCTAGCCAGCAGGTGAACTCTAGGCTCATTTTCCCAGCCTATCCTAAAGCTGGCCATAGATGGGTCATTTTTTAAATTTTTGTTCGGCTGGCTGGCCTTCAAACAAGATTCCTCCCCTTTCCTAACATATTTCGTTTAATGATCGACTGCTGACAAACCTGATCCTTGCTGAATCGGCCTAATTTCTACCCATCTTTAACTAGATTATTACTATATTAGTGCTAAATAGTTGAACTTCACATTACAAACACAGCTGATTGAATCTGAGGAGAGACTTAACATCTCTCCTCCTTTCAGCTTAGCTCAAAAGTTTACAAGGCTAATCTTGACTGTTTTATTGAAAAAGTATGTTGTTTACAAATGACAAATGTTCTAAATGCACACATGCTTGAATGAGTCAGACAAGGGACACTCCTGCTCATTATATGTGTGTATGAAGAGACTTTCAGTTAGAGACGGTATGAGAAAGAAAGCAGACCTCTCTAAGCACCTTTTTATGCATTTACCAGCCTAATCTTAAAGGATAAGTTCACTGTTAATAAAAAAATAATAAAAGAATTGAAAGTGGACATCATTTTTATCTGCAAAAAATGTGCATTTACTATTTATTTTTTAGGAGCCTGAAAAGCATTGCACCCACGAGCAGTATATCCCTGGTGCCAAGCAGGACTATTGCAGACTGTATATTAATTGTAATCTTTCTGCTTGCACCTCGTACGGGCAGTCAGTTTCACACTGACAGGAAGAATCAACAGCACAGTGATAGTTCATTTAGAACTACAAGCCGACAGCCGCAAAGGCTGTGGCGACTTGTAGTTTCCTGTTTACAGAACTCGGTGACTGAACAACGCGGCCTGTCTGTCAATGGCCTGCACGCCGGAGTTTTTAAAAAATTGATCACAGCTAGTGGGGGGAGATGATCCCCTGCTAGCTGTCACAATGGGGGATTGAAGGGTATGGGGACCGGTGTTACAGTAACATGTTACACCCTGAATATGGGTGTAACATATTATGAAAGGTGAACTTATCATTTATCCTTTAAAGCTGAACTAAAGTTGAAAAAGAAAATTGTGAAAGAAAGAAAAGAGAATTGTGAACAGGCAGGCTTTTTATTGCTGAAGAGACCATTCAGTGTCTCTTCTGTAGTAAAATACTACACCTTGTATCCAATATATTCTTTTTTAGAAGGAGCACTGTGGTAGTGCTGTCACAGACAGGTCCTAGAAACTGTTTACAATTAGGAGCCATGGGCACCTGATCACATGATCACTGAGACAGCCATTTAAAATGATCACGGTGCACAGAAAATGCTTCTGAGCTTAAGAACCCCTTTAAAGGGCCATCAGGAGCTGACAGTAAGGGGTAAATGGATGCCACAACGTGATTTTGATGATAATAGAAATTTGGGGGACATTTATAATGGAGAGCAGATATAGTGATGTGTCCTCTACTATATGCCACAATAACCTCGCCACTGTGGCCTGAATCTGACTTAAATTGTAGATTGTGGTGTGAGCCTATCTGCCACAGCAGAGAGAGCATGATGATTGGAGGCTTTCCTACTTGATTTTGACAGATATGACATGGTTCTCCTCCATTTAGAGACCATGTATAAATGTGCAGAATCTTTTTTTTTTTTTTTTTCTTACTGATGCTTTATAGTCTCCAATGTTCAGAGAGTTAGTGGAATGCTGAGGAGTGAAGTAGGGTGAAGGCTAATGGCATAGGGATATAAAGATATGCAGTGGGGGATCCTGTATTACTATATGAATACTACTAAGTGAAGATATCATATAGACTTATTAAAACTGTACTGTTAGAATTGAATGTCAAATACTTTAGTATTTTTATATTGGCATACACAAACATTGAAATAAACAGACATACTATACATATACTGTATAAGGAGGGTATTGATTATAATGGCTTGTATATGATGGTTAGTGTGAAATTATCATTGGGGTGAATTTGTTATGTAAATGACCCACCTTTCTTGTATGTCTCATGGGTTGTAATATAATTTGATTTTTTTTCTAGAACTGAAGAGATCTCTGTATGCGCTCTTCTCCCAGTTTGGCCATGTGATGGACATTGTGGCTTTAAAGACCATAAAGATGAGGGGACAAGCCTTTGTAATATTTAAGGAGCTCAGCTCATCTACCAATGCTTTAAGACAACTACAAGGATTTCCATTTTATGATAAACCAATGGTATGTCCTATCTTAACGACCCTTATTTCTCAGGCCTGATGGTAATTTCCCATCACAATAGGAAATCTGCAGCTTCTACTGTTCGCTTGTTGTTTTAAGGTACAAGCTCCAGGGATGTTGTCATCTTTAGGGATTGTGTATATAGACAAATGCAGAATGCTTCCAGTTCCACTCATGTTGTGTTTATGATGTTTATGAATTCCTCCAGAGCTGCTTTTGACCTCCTACTAAGCTGTTAATGCATTTCCTTTGACTTTTATGGGCAGAAAAGCTGTTCTAATGCAGATAAACGCCCAGTGTACAATCTTTTGTTCTTCATTCCTTGGCAAATCACTCATTTATGCGTGCTCCGAGTTAGAGAGTTCCTTTGTAAAGAAGCACAATTTGGTATGAAATAATCAAGTATTGTACATGTAGCGGAGATGAAATATTCTTTGCTGTATGCTTGCACAGTTGCTGAGTAGAGACCATCTACTGAGAGTGTGCATTCCACCCTTGCTGACCTTCTGAAAGTACGAGTTGTCTGTCTACCGTGATGAATCCGCAGTGTCAATATTATGAGTAACTGGCCCAAGAAAACTATAGATTTCGAGTTCTGACTTTGTGAACCAGTGACTGGAAGTATTGAAGCCACTGGAACAAGACAACAGGCATTTTGTTGTTTTCAGAAGCACGTTAACAATGGCAGGCTCTGTATATCGCTCAGTACAGCTTTACCCCTCCAGCTCTACCTCTCCAGTGCTCACTTAAGCACTGGTATGTGAAGAGGGAGGGAGTGGCTGGCTCAGGCTCTCAGCAGTGTGCTGAGAGGCTGAGTCACCTGCCAATCAGGCATCTGGGTGGATCCTGACATTAAGATCTGGGTCCCTTCAGAACCCGCACTGGCTGATTCAGTGACTGAGCTTTAACCCACAGTCAACTGAATATGGGTCACAGGAGTGTACTCTTGTAACCCACGGGAGAAATGGGGCCAAAAGAGCTTTTTTTTGGCCCTACTTCTCTTTTAAAGAAAATGAACATTTGAAAAGTTTTCTTTACTATTTACACTTTTATTGAATGCCAGTAGTGTAGCTTCTGCTATACTTCTGGCACTCTGTAACAGCAGACTTATGCCTCTCCTACTCATAAGCCACACTGTCCACCCCTTCTCTCTCCTGTCCATTCACAGAATCCAATCGAATTGTCCTGTCTTACAATTCACGTTAAAAACAGGTTTAGTATGCACATATTTGCAAATACATACGTAAGCTACAGAGCCTCTTCGCAGCACCCCAATATTCTCTAGAAAATTTGAGACCTGAGAATTTGACTCCCATTTCTCTGTTTTGGCTTGTTCTCATGTTTTAGAAACTATCAGTTGTGGTACCCTATATTCATTCCACAACATATCAACATTTCCCCTTATGTCTAATGTTACATTGCTGTCATCCTTCATCCATCCTGCTCAAATAGATAGCTGTTCCTCTATCTGTTTAATCTGCATGATCCTTAGTCCCTGTGGACTCAGTAACCCTGTTACCAATTGTAAATCCCTGTCCACTTTAACCATTTATCTAGGGGCTCAGTATAGGCAGAACTGCACCTTTGATTCATATATTCTCTAGCGCTCCTTTTGCGCTAGGCTTTTTCTGGGGGTACCTTCTTACCTTTCATTCCCTACTTTAATGCCAATAATGACTGGTCCGTTTTTTTTCTTTTCTCTTCTCTTCTCTTCTTGTGCCTATAACCTTTTTTCCTCTAAATCTATTACAGCAGATGTGTGCCTCATATAACCTGTTAAACCAGCACTATTTGGTCCTTTTTTATCTATAACATTTCAATGGACAGTAGACAGTGACAACATAACATATAACCACCAATCCAGACGGTTCGATTAAGGGGAGTAAAATAGGTACCCTTTATCCCGAAAAAGCATTACTAATCAAGGAAGTCTAAAAAATCTAATTTAAGCAAAGGGCTTACCTCAGCTAGCTGATTATCAGAAATTCCCAGATTGTTCTCAGGCTCCTCATTTTTGGATTCTCAGGGTCACCTTTTAAACCCTCTCCAAGACAAGCTCGCCACCTGTTCTGGACATTAATAATTACATTTTATAGATAGGCAACTCCTTTCCTCATATTGATTAATGGCTCCAAATTAATAACGACTACAGTAGAAAGCAGACACAAAAAGGTACACTCAGTATTTCTCCAAATAACTGTTCTGTTTATTCGGCGTGTTTGAAATTTTTTTATACGCATGATTACGTAGGTATCACCTTAATATTACAATTGTACTTTTATGGAAACAAGGGGTGTTATATAGGCAGGCTAATTTCTAATCGGGTATCAATTATAGTATAGTGAGCGCTCCTAAAAATATACCGCTAAAACACCAAGAGGTACCAATAAAACTCCAAAAAGGTCAGAAATGTATGGGGTGTAGCGCTGTATACTACAAAATTCAAAATAAACCAATATGTCCACATATATTGATCATAAATGCATGTAAATACATAAACGGATATAAAGTCTGTAAACAGAAGAAAAATGCAGCAGATGAACTTGTGACTCCAGCCAAAAGTGAAAAGTGCGCACTCACCGGAAGCGCATAGATAATGCGCATATATGTAAATTCTCAAGGTAGACTGGTCAATCTGGTGAACTTTTTCCTATGGTGCAGTCATCAAGCCGTTAGGGAAGTGATTAAATCCACTGGTTCCAGAGGTCCTCCTTAAGATTAGTGAGGTGGTCAGCCTGGATATGGGGCTCCTATTCCTCCAGATATGCTGGATACTGACAGGTACCTGTGGGCTTAATAGCTCCAGACAGGAGCCACAAAAGAGGTGCCCATAGTGTAGTATATTAAAATACTTTAATGTAGTACCACATATTACAGACAGGGTATAGTGATGAGCAAGAAAGAAGCACTATACCTCTATTAAAATGGCCGCCTGGGCTTCTTTCCAGCTCTAGGCGGCAGTAGTATGCTGTGCTGTCTGGTTCCTCCTGAGGCCTTTCGTGCAATGGCACTTCTTCAGAGGGAGAACTGACAGCATGACTGGTCTATTAGACTTATATAGAATAAATGGCACGTGCGCACTACGCCGCCGCCATTTTGTCGGAGTCTGACGTGCATTTCGGTCGGCCATTTTGCCATAGGCCAGACCTTGTAATACATTGCTGTGGGTGGAGAACCAGGAATACAAGGACTAATCAGTCATCTGTAAGCACGGGAATAATTGGGCTATGAACAGCGCCATGTTAATGAATGGACGCAGTGCGCATGCGCGATTACGGAGCGGCCATTTTGCCTTAGGTCTGGCCTTAAATGTATTTAGAATAGCTGTGTTTTGCTGTCCGCAAAGGTTAAGAGTCCACTCTGCACCTAACAAAATCAGTATACAGAGAGATTACCTCAACATAAGGTACAAAATGAGTGCAAATACCCAAACCAGATTATAATATAAACGAAAAGCATGTTGGATGGTGATAAAGCTAATTTTCACATCCACAGCAATGATAAAACATGTATAATCTCAAATGTAATATGAAACGGACATAAATATATAAAAAGCATGGTACAAATAAATACACCAAATATAAAATGAAATAAAAGCACGAATAAAGAACTAATAAATACGTGCTGATATAGATAACACAAAAAAGCAACAATATAAAAACAAATATAAAAATGAAAATAAAAAATAGTAAAATAATATCGCAATATGGATATTAGAAAATTCACCTGTTGACAATAAAACAATTTATATCCAGTTCTATGTTAAAACCTAGTGGGTGTAATGTGCTGAGTTCACATTCCCACTTAGTTTCAGCCTGAGAAACCGCTCTTTTTATTGCTGCCCCTCCAATGTGGTTTGATAATATTTGATAATATCAATCCCTGTAAATTTAAGGGTGGAGGGGTCACAATTGTGGTGTATCCTGTAGTGATTGGACAAAGAATGTTCTTTGTAACCCTTTTTAATGTTAGACACATGTTCACGCAAATGATCTCGAAGCCTCCTAGTGGTACGCCCTACATATTGCTTGCGACAAGGGCACTGTAGCAAGTACACCACATATTTACTATAGCACGAAATTTATTGTATATGTCCTGCTGGTGCTTTCTGAGGTAAATGTGTTTATGGATTTCCTGCTGGAGTTACATTTACACATAATGCATTTATTGCAAGGATGGAAACCATGAATATCAGAAAACAAGGAAACCCTCTTTGGAGGGTCCACTACGTTAGGGGCAAGAGTGTGTCTCATAGATGTAGCCTTACGATATATGATCTCAGGCTTTTCTGGGAGAATGGTAGATAACACTGGGTCGGAATTTCAGAATATTCCAATTATTTTTGATAATATTCCCAACCTTTTTGTGTTGAATGGAGTAGGTGGAAATAAATGGGCAGATATTTGGTCGTGTCAATAATTTTGTTGTTATCCTGCAACATATTACTCCGGTCCATATTTGCCACAGAATCAATAATAGTGTCTAGAGTCATAGTATTATATCCTTTTTCCTGGAATCTATTTTTCAAGACTTTGGCCTGCGAGAAGTATGTATTGAGATCCGTACAGTTACACCTTATTCTCATAAACTGTCCCTTTGGGATATTTGCCAACCAAGTAGGGTGGTGGCAACTGTCTGTTGGGTTGGGTCTGTTGGCTTAAAATATGATTCCCTAACTACTTTGCCATTTATATTACTCAATGTTAGGTCCAAAAAATGGATACTATGCTTGCTGTAAGTATAGGTCAAGCTGATATTGGCTGTATTGTTATTTAATGTGCAAAAAAAATTAATAAGGGATTCTTCATCCCCTTTCCATAATAGGAAAATATCATCAATGTATCTTTTGTAAGTTATTAGTTCAGGCCAGTCTCTGCTGTAAATTACGTCCTCCTCCCAGCGAGACATAAATAGGTTCGCCAGGCTGAGGGCAAACTTAGCCCCCATCTCGACACCTTTGATCTGTAGAAAATATGTTTGGTTAAACCAGAAATATTTGTGTTGTAGTGCAGATTCCAAGAGATTCAAAATATACGTCTGTTGCATAAATAATAAAGTGCTGTAGTGCTTTAAATAAAACTCAGCGGCCTCCATACCATCTGAGTGCTTAATGTTCGTATACAGCGAAGCAACGTCTGCTGTTACCAAATAAGTATCTGTTTGTGATATCAATGTCATGTATTAAATTAAGTACTTGTTTAGTATCTCGGAGGTACGAAGGGGTTTGCACCACTAACGGCTGTAGAAAAAAAATCAACGTACTCTCCAATTTTAGAGCATAACTACCCAATACCACTGATAATGGTTCTACCGGGGGGTTTGACTGGATTTTTGTGAATTTTAGGGAGTATATACAGAATAGAGAGTCTAGGTGCCGAGGGAACTAAAAAGGCTTTTTCTTTTTTATTCAGGATTTGCATGTTCTATCCTTGATTAATAATGTCCTTTAAAAGTTTCTTATAGGTGGAGAGGGGGTCTTTATTTAGTGGAAGGTAGGTGGTATGGTCATTTAAGATATGATTGACTTCCGTAATATAGTCTCTTTTATCAAGTATGACCACCCCTCCCCCCTTGTCCGCTGGTCTGATTACTAAATCCTTTTTCTCTAAGAGTGATTTCATGGCTTTATAGTTCCCTGATCTATCACTAGGATGTTTTATAGGCAGATTGGCTAGCTCCTTTAAGAGTTTATCTCTGAAGAGGTTCACATATGAATGTGATTGGGGAGGGGGGTTATAGGTAGAGGCATTATGCAGGCTTGAATGGGTATAGGCATCGGTATTCGAAATACTGGTAATGACGTTAGTTGCAAAATATCTTTTTAAAGTCAGTTGCTTGGTAAATTTATGAATATCAATGAATGTCTGAAATTTATTCAGTTTATTAGCCGGTGCAAACTTAAGTCCTTTGTCAAGCAACCAGAGCTCTTCCTGAGTTAAATTGGTACTGCTTAAATTATAGATACCCTTTCCTGCTATGTCTTTCTCTTTTTGGGCATTTCTAATCAGGACTTGAAGGAATGAAAGCATTATTAGTGCACAATACATAGGCAAAGCATACAAAATAGAATACAATTTTATACAGAATTTACAAATTTCCTTTACAGCCTCCATAGTAGAAGCACATGTATAATAATAGATAGACTGAGGGCAGGTGAGCCTGGAGTGAGTACGTCCCTCCTTAAAGGCATGGGGGCATACTGGACACCCAGCATATAACGTAATGGCAGCCAGGTGTCCAGTACATCCCTGCATCAGTATATCAACAGTACAAACAAATGCCAATTGCCCCAATCTATAACTGACCTTTGCAGCAAGGAGCACATGGAGCACTGTTAGATAGTTTGGTTGGTAAGTTGAGCTGGTTATTTTTTTTCCTCTGTTGTTGTTTTACATGTGTTGCTCTTCCTTGTGCTCCTTGCTGCAAAGGCAAGTTCTAGATTGGGGTAGTTTCCATTTGTTTGTTTTATTTTTTTAAACCTGACTGAAGCTCCTGTTTATTTGTAATCCATCAGTTCTGGCTTTTATTACTTCTTTAGTAGCTAATCGGTGTGCAAATCTGCAGTTCAGTCTTGCCTTCATTCTCTTAGTAACAAAAACATGACATTTGTTAGAGTGCATAATCCAAAGGGTTCTCTAGTAAGGTAAAGATAAGATTATGACAAGCAAGGAGGGTGGGGGCTGTGCTAGGGAATTGACTCTTCCTGGAGCAGTCAAGTTTTTTTTTTTGTTGTTTAGAAAATTCAAAGGCACATTGCAAATCAATATAAAAATTGTTTTTAGAAAGGACAAACACTGCAAATAAACATTTAAAATACTTTTATTTTCTGTGCTTTCTCTTGGAATATTAGCAACAAGGTCACTCCAGTTTTGCAGATGGTAGCCTAGAAGTTCTTTTGTTGGAAATATCTGATTTGTGAGTCATAAAAGATCTGCCTGTATTTATGGCTGATATTGATAGTCAGCCTGTCGGGTTCTAAAATAAATTTGCATGAATTTGGTACCCACTGACATTCTGGAATTGGATTATTTTGGGGCAGGGAGTATAACTACCTCAGGAAGAAATGCTGTTCAGTGGGTCCTGTGGTTCCACAGGAAGAAATTGCTTTGCTGACTAAACCCTCCGAGATGGTGATAGGCCTTTTCAGGTTGCTGTGAGAATATTGACTTTGCAGAAGAGGGCTAGGAATGCATAACTTTGTGTGTTCCTAGTTCTCAGGCTTGATATCAAACTGAAAAATTAGTCACATCAATTATTATCAAATTAACTGAGCATACTGATGCTGCTAATATTGGTGGAAAATAAGTATTTGGTCAATATCAAAAGTTCATCTCAATACTTTGTTATATATCCTTTGTTGGCAATGACAGAGGTCAAACGTTTCCTGTAAGTCTTCACAAGGTTGGTACACACTGTTGCTGGTATGTTTGCCCATCCTCCATGCAGATCTCCTCTAGAGCAGTGATGTTTTGGGGCTGTCGCTGGGCAACACGGACTTTCAACTCCCTCCAAAGGTTTTCTATGGGGTTGAGATCTGGAGACTGGCTAGGCCACTCCAGGACCTTGAAATGCTTCTTACAAAGCCACTCCTTTGTTGCCCGGGTGGTATGTTTGGGATCATTGTCATGTTGGAAGACCCAGCCACGTTTCATCTTCAATGCCCTTGCTGATGGAAGGAGGTTTGCACTCAAAATCTCACGATACATGGCCCCATTCATTCTGTCCTGTACATGGATCAGTCGTCCTGGTCCCTTTGCGGAGAGACAGCCCCAAAGCATGATGTTGCCACCCCCATGCTTCACAGTAGGTATGATGTTCTTTGGATGCAACTCCGCATTCTCTCTCTTCCAAACACGACGAGTTGTGTTTCTACCAAACAGTTCTATTTTGGTTTCACCTGACCATATGACATTCTCCCAATCCTCTTCTGGATCATCCAAATGCTCTCTAGCAAACTTCAGACGGGCCCGGACATGTATTGGCTTAAGCAGGGGGACACGTCTGGCACTGCAGGATCTGAGTCCCTGGCGGCGTAGTGTGTTACTGATGGTAGCCTTTGTTACGTTGGTCCCAGCTCTCTGCAGGTCATTCACTAGGTCCCCTCGTGTGGTCCTGGGATTTTTGCTCACCGTTCTTGTGATCATTTTGACCCCACGGGGTGAGATCTTGCGTGGCGCCCCAGATCGAGGGAGATTATCAGTGGTCTTGTATGTCTTCCATTTTCTAATTATTGCTCCCACAGTTGATTTGTTCACACCAAGCTGCTTGCCTATTGCAGATTCAGTCTTCCCAGCCTGGTGCAGGTCTACAATTTTGTTTCTGGTGTCCTTCGACAGCTATTTGGTCTTCACCATAGTGGAGTTTGGAGTGTGACTGTTTGAGGTTGTGGACAGGTGTCTTTTATACTGATAAGTTCAAACAGATGCCATTGATACAGGTAATGAGTGCAGGACAGAGGAGCCTCTTAAAGAAGAAGGTACAGGTCTGTGAGAGCCAGAAATCTTGCTTGTTTGTAGGTGACCAAATACTTATTTTCCACCATAATTTGCAAATAAATTCTTTCCAAATCAGCCAATGTGATTGTCTGGATTTTTTTTTCTCATTTTGCCTCTCATAGTTGAGGTCTACCTATGATGCCAATTACAGGCCTCTCTCATCTTTTTAAGTGGGAGAACTTGCACAATTGGTGGCTGACTAAATACTTTTTTGCCCCACTGTATGTGCAGGATCCGCAAATTTTGCACATATTCATAGCTAGCTTGGTGGAAACCTTCAAAACCTGGCATCCTTGCAGAAGGTGCCAATCAGGAAATGCCCAAACTTCTGCCGTTAAAGAATATGTAAACCCATCATCTGCTTGCTGTACCATGTTCTTATAAGAAAACATTTTCTGTTCTCCTTGTATTGCTCCCCTTGTGTGTCCCTGCTAGTTCTTCTGCTTTCCTATTAAAAACTGACTACACTAGGCATAAGAGCACAGTGTAGTCAGTTTTCTAGCTGTGCTGGGCACTTTGTCTACTCTCCTTCAATGGGCAGACTTCTGCTCACACATCACCCCCTGCACAGCCATTCTCTTGTAAGTTTCAGTGTACCGCTGTTTCTCCTCCCCCAGCTTTTTGTTCTTAGCTGCATAAGGAGCTTAGAGGGAATGTAATCACTTATAAAATAAGGAAAAAAAGGTATTTTATAATTTATTTATTTTTTTAATATCTATACACATGTTTTGCATTTAATTTCTCTTTTATACTGAATTGGTTGTTTTAAAAGGTGAGGGTTTACATATACATTAATGGTAAGCTTGCAGAATTCTGACTTCTTCCACTAGACAAGCTATTATCATGTGTAGGTGGTTATGTAAACATAACTTATTCTAGCTACTGATATCGCACATTTTCAGTTAATGAAATTCTTATGTCCTGCAGCGAATTCAGTATGCAAAGTCTGACTCTGATTTAGTGTCCAAGATGCGTGGAACATTTGCAGATAAAGAGAAAAAGAAGGAAAAGAAAAAGAACAAACCCCAAGACCAGGCTGCAAATGCAGCGAATAAAAAACCTGCACAGGTTAGTCAATGTATACCTGTAAAGTGATGGAGATTTTTAGAACTTTCATTGGGATACATTTACCAATCTTGTTGTGTCCATTAAACAATTTCATCGTACAATTTAGTAGCAAAATGTGACTGATTTTAGTGGCGACTCCTTATAGGAAGCTGTTGCAAAAGTGTGACAAGCAAAGTGCATTGTCACACAGATCATATACATTATCAGCTGCTGTTGTGACTGCCATCCCTGCACACATCTCACAGATTTAGGTAATCATGAATGGGTCTGGAGAAATAACCCGTTAGTACCAGCAATCAACAGATTCAGCTGATGTGTCAATGAACAGAGAGAAGTGTTCAAATGCATGGGAAAGGAATGAGGGAGGAGAGTTTTGACAAAAGTGGACAAACATTTGGGAAGAGTATTATGACAGGGTGGACCCAGCCACTAGAGAGGCATTTTGACAGCAGGGAACACAACTGGAAGAGGAGCATTCCGACGGTGGAGGCACAGCCAGGAGAGAAGCATTCTGATGGCACAGGGAGGTCCAAACTGGGAGAGGAACATTCTGACCTCAGGGAACATACTGATGGTGGAATGGTGCATTCTGATGGGGGGGGTGGGGTCACAGCCGGGAGAGGGTCATTCTGACAGCAGTGGGCAAGGCCAGGATTTTAATTCGATTTCACCAATTTAAAAAATGCTGAATACCACTTCTGTATTTTTTAACTGACAACATTTCAGTCCTAAACTGGATCTGCAAGTATAGTACTGTGTTTGCAAAACCATCACAGACAGTCACAAAAATTAACAGCTGCTTCGCAAACAAAAAACTGTAATTACCATTTGGTTCTGTGACAGAAAACCATGTAAATTTAAGATGCAACAACTATTAAAAAAAAAAAAAACGCGGATACTTTAATAAATGTACCCCATTTTGTATTCAGTCTCTGACCATCAGAGTGTTTATTTCTACTGAGCTGCAGGGAATTATGATGTTTACGGGGATAAGATTCTATGTTTTCATCTGCCTACATCCTCATTTACATTGCTGTTCTTGTCCTCCTGGTTTCTAGCAGATGAAAACATCGTCCCATCTGCTCTCAGCACAGGCAAGTCATTCAGTTCCCATCTGTGAACTGATGTCCATTACAGTTTCAGATCTGTGGCCACAGGCAGCTTTGCTGCTTTTTAACTGCTTGAATTGGAAATTGTGTTGTTGTGTTTTTAAAGTATTGTAAAACTGACTAAAATGTATACACTGTAAAGTGAGCAAACATATTCTTTTTAGTTGCCAGTTTGCTTCAAATGATGTACCATATAATGGCCCCTGTTTTTGTATTGAGTACAGGGTTACCAAATTAGTACAGTTCTCATTGGTAACTGAGGGAAATTTTCTAAAACTGGTGCACTCAGTCTGGTGGAGCTATGCATGATAGCCAATCGGCTTCTAACTTCATTTTGTTCAATTAAATTATTACTAAACCTTGGACCTTGCATTCACTATATCTGGTCTCCCACAGTACAAAACATGGAATTTCAATTATTTTAGTAAATTTAAACTGCTAAATACCTTTTTAAATTCAGTAGTTAGAGCAGTCTTGTGACTTCTATCTGTGTCCAGCAGAGCACTGGTTAAAGCTTGTAGGAGGAGTTTTCATTCTCACCCAGGGGCGGACTGACAACTTATGGGGCCCCCGGGCAATAGGGGATCATGGGGCCCCTGTGTCCTTGCCCAAACTCAAAAAAGCCTATGAAAAAGGTACCAGGGGCATCTCATGGGGCCCCTACTGACCCCGGGCCCTTGGGCAGTGCCCGAGTTTCCAAATGGTCAGTCTGCCCGTTCTCACCTGATTGTCCTATGAACGCCGCATAACCCCCTAACCCTCTGTCTGGATAGTATTGATTGGCCCTGAGCTGATCACATGCACTCTCCTAAGAAAAAAAAAAAATCTCTAGCAATACACACCAAACTGAGCATGTGCAGCTTGCCCCCAAGCATATGTTCTATGAGCAGATGGATTGCGGACAGTAGAAGGGGGGATCAGAGAAGACAGGATCAAACATCCTGTTTACGTAATGTGGAGGATTAACCCCTTAGTGGTATAACAAGCATGCGTTACTGCATATACAGACTGATTTTACTTTTGTGGGTTTAGTAACACTTTAAGCTTTGAAAGTGAAACCTGGAAGCTGATCTATGCAGAGCTGCACCAGATTTCGCACCATGCACTTTTACTAAATCTCCCCCTATATGTGGGTGACTTATAAATAAAGGTTCTTGTGGATATACCTGCATATTCAGATATACTTCTAGATGCTCTTCTCTAAGTGGATTCTATGGAGGGTGCATCTCCCTTGCTTGCGTCAGTACCATGGAATAAGTACAGGGGTATTTGGCCGGTGTTCAGTTGAATTTAAGACTGGAGGCTGACTACCCCAGTAAGAAACTGAAACCAACAATCTGGCTTTAATACTGATTTCGGATATAATCAATTCAAGTGCCAGAACCCAACAATAATTCACCCACAGAACATCTTGACTTGTATACCCAAATACCTGCAAATGGGCTTCTAGTGTGTTGGACATTTTACAGCACTGGTCTCCATCCAGATATTTGGTTATCCTAGGGTTTTTTAAAGTCTATTATCAAAATACTGTTAAATAGTTTTCACTGAATGAGTGACATTGATAAAAAAAAACAAAAAACAAAAACTGTACAATGTCTGGAGTACCTGTTCATTGTTCCATGCTTTGATGTGCTTGTTATTGATGTTGCTATTTACAGGTTCCAGGACAGGAAACAGACAATGCAGCACCAGGATCAGCACAGAGCCAGCAGGTAATAAAGCACGTGCATCGCTTACACAAAGGGACATGGTCTGAGTTATGCTTTTAGATAAAATTACTTGTCTTTGGGTTGTGTGGAAAAGACAATAATGCTTTTAGTGTAAAATATAGGCAGTTGCAGTGTTCAGTGACATTAGTCTATTAAAGTGCACTTCTATTGTAAAATAAAGAACCCATTAGTAGTTGGTCATCTATTTCCCATTTCGTAGGGGACTGGAAAACATTAGAAATTGCATGCATTATCAATGCTTCATTTAGTATATCTCTGCCCCTTGCAAGGTTTCCTGCTATACAGTGCTGTTTTTCAGGCCTACATCTATGTGTGTCTTTATATATATATATATATATATATATATATATATATATATATATATATATGGATTTTACAATTTAACCTAAATTTAAAAATGTGAGGCTCATTTTTAGCTTTGTGTGCTTATTATCTCATGACAATTGCTTAAATGTTAACTGGTGCTGAGAAAGTGTCGTGGCTGTTATATCTGACCTCCCCTTCTGAAAATTCTAATTCCCTGAATCTATTATTACAATGGCTTCACAACTTCTGAGTCTTAGACCTGGGACATATATGCAGACTTTCTTTCAAAGGTGCTTATTTTGATTTGGCAAAGAATTTACAGAGAAGAAATGGTCTCAACTGAGCCAGGACATATATTTACAGGAAAAAATATGCGGTACCTGATATTAATAGAACAATGAGTGCAAATAAATTTAACACTCACACACTATCAACCAACATTCACACTTGCCCGCTCCTTCCTCAACACCAACGTCATAGGTCAGTGAAAGAAGTCCACAATGGATTAAGAGTCCATATTTAACCATTTCAATACCAGGCAATTTTACCCCCTTCCTGCCCAGGCCAGTTTTCACGTTTCAGCGCTCTCACACTTTGACTGACAATTGCGCGGTCATACAACATTGTATCCAAACTAAAATTTTATCATTTTCTTCACACAACTAGAGCTTTCTTTTGGTGGTATTTAATCACCGCTGGGGTTTTTATTTTTTGCTAAATTAACAAAAAAAGACCAAAAATTTTGAAAAAAAAACACGTTTTTTTTTGTTGTTTCTGTTATAAAAGTTTACAAATAAATAATTGTTCATAAATTTAGGCCAAGATGTATTCTACTACATGTCTTTGGTGAAAATAACCCAAATTAGGATGTGTTTTTTAGTTTGTAGGAAAGTTATAGAGTTCACAAACTATGGTATAGATCTGAATATTGATCAATCCTGAAGTACTGACAGCCAATCTAATTTCTTGAGGTCCAAGAATGTCAGAACAGTACAGATATTCCCCAAATGACCCCTTTTTGCAGAGTAGACAGTCCGATGTACTTCATAAGAGGAATGGCAAGTTTTTTGAAGTTGTGTTTTGTTTGTAATTTTTCGGAAAATGAAAAAATTAAATTATTTTCACAATTTTTTTTTTTACATACTGTCACCAGTGCAGTACAGCGTCATCATATAACTGGCATAACGGTGAACAGGGACACTGACTGGTGACAGTATGCAAAAAAAAAAAAAAAAAAATATATATTTTTTTTTTTTTTTTTAATTTTTTATTACTTTTTTTTATTTTTTTTAAGATTTTTTTTTCATATTTCACTATGACCAAAGAAGTATTAAGTTACCATAGTAAACATTGTACTACTTTGGGGAAGTGATCAGTATTTTTTTTTTTTTTTACACAATTTGCTTATAGCAAAGAATTACTTTGCTATAAGCAAGCATTTACCTGAATGACATCGATTCATTCAGGGGTTTTTGTTTTTGTGCTTAGCTGTGATTTGGCCACAGCTAATCACATGACATGTGCATGTGACCTGCTGTGACCATTCACAGCTAGGCACTAGTATACAATGGATGGCATGAATGAAGCCATCCATTGTATACAACTGTCATGTGACCTGCTGTGATTGGTCACAGCAGGTCACATGGTACCGGCAACGGGGGCCGGTACTCAGATCTGTCATCGGCCGCATCCAAGGCAACCGCGCATGTGTGGGAGGACGCCAAATGGCGTATACCCCAGAAAGCTACAGCATTTTTGCGGCCGCCAAACGGCTATAGGCCGGGCGGCTAATGGTTAAAGGGGAACTACATGGTATCTAAACACCACAAACCAAACAATAATTTTATTCATTTTTAATGTTCAAAGCAAACTCACCCATCCATCCATGTCTCCAGTTAGCATTTTTGGCTGTGGCCATCTTAAGTAAGGGCAGATGATTCAAGTATCATTCACTTTCTGGGATCCATCTGACCTTCGCTCAGGCATGCAAGCAGGAGGGTGTGCTGGGATGTATGACATCATTTGCCTTGACATGTAAACCAGGAAGTAACTGAAGAAGTGTAAAAAAAAATGATATACTTTCCTATCTATTTACAAATGCTAGCAGCAAAAAGATTAAAAATAGTAAATGTTGATTGAGAGTGTGAAGTTCCACTTTAAGATGGGTACATATGGACTGTGTGCTGCAGGATGCAGGAGACTCAATCCACAGATTCCAGGTCTTATAACATTTATTAGGGCATACTTTGCCGTTATTTTAAATTGTAAATTATTTTATATTTGGGGAGACCTGTATTGATCTTGCTTGTGCTAATGTTGGAGGGTTGAGATTTTTTTACATTTTAATGTAGACTTCATTACTTAGAAAAGTATTAAGTGAAACTTAATACATTCAAGTGTTAGGGGTACAAAGTCATTAAAGGATAAGTTCACCTTCAGGAACATATTGCATGTGCCACCTGTTTTTAGGGTGGAACATGTAACATGTTCCCACTGCTGATGCCTCTCCCCGCAAACCTGTTACAATTGAAAAAAAAGAAAACGCTGCTTAGCAGGGCTCCGCCTGCCTGGCTGTGCCGTTCTGCCTTTGCGGCTGTCAGTTTGCAGTCCTCAATCAGGGCACTGGTGAGCTCTCTAGGTAGTTCAATGGTGGGTCCTGTCATTTTGTAACTGCCTGCCCAATAGGAGCAGACAGCTGACACCGGCAGTCTGCAGGAGTCTCGTATTGCACCCTCGATCAGCTGATCACGGCTGCAATGCTTTACAGGCTCCTAATTAAAATAATAAATGCACTTTTTTTTTTTTTTGTTACCTGCAAAATTATTTGCATTTATTATGTTATTTTTTTTGTTTTAAGGTGAACTTATCTTTTAAGAATACTTGACAGATTTCAGAGGTTCTAGGGCCAGTGAAACTGGGGAGTGGAGATCCCAAAAACTGGTAACACATGGGCAGGTTTAGAACATATGGTATATAGTAGCAGGAAAGTCACCATATTAGTAGCAGTGGGCAATTAGGCCCATATGGGCAACTTGTCTGGGGAGTAATGCAGATGATGTAAAAATGTAAATTGCATGAACTTGCCGTTTGTGCTAATGACATCCTGTAACTTCCTCCCAGTTTTCCTCATACATGGTGATAAAATTCTGTATGCTATGTTGAAATTTAATATCATTAAGTTATGATAGCTAAACATTTTAGATGACGTGGTGGCTTTCTTATTGTCATGAAGGCTGAGCAAGTAACAGCATTCCAGATGATTGCTTCCTGCTGTTGAAAACGGTATCTTAAGATCTCATCATTATGTATACATTGTTAGTGTGCAAGTCATTCTTCCTCTTTTTATTTTCTTTTTTTTTTGCAATCGCTAACCTATGATGCATTGACAGTCCTACTGTTTTGTAGACAGGCAGTGTCAAGTGATTTCAGTCATCCCTGCCTACAGCCTGGGGACTCTTCTTGGGTCTCCATAGAGCCAAAGAGCTCCTGGCATCTGTGACGCTAATGGAAGCCTCCGAGAGCTGGTCCCTCTCCCACTCCCTTCCTCCAGCCCTTGGACCTGGAAAGAGAGCAGGCTCCAGTTGTCAGCTGCCAAAAAATTGTGAAAAAAAATGATTGACGTTTTTTTATTAAATCCGTTAAAAGAGATGGTTTAAAAAGATCTAAAATCTACTGATCTTTGAGTTCACATATACTTTAATGTAAGCAGCCAGTCAGAAATGTGCTGCAGCAGCTAAATCTGAACTAAGCTTGGGCATTCATGAACAAGGAAAGCATTTTCAGTACCTGGAGAAAAAAAGGCAATTTATTGGTGATACCTTTTCTGCTTTGACACTATGCAAGCAAACATCACATTTGTACCCTTAACTTCCCGCTGACCGCACGCATAGATGCGTACCAAAAGAAAAACAGAACTGTGGCGGGAGCGCCCGCCATGCACAGACCTGGCACAGTTACCAGCGGTTCTTCTTGCGATTGGGAGCTTTTTGATCATGTGACCGTTGTGACATACAGTCATGGTGGTGACATGATCACAAACCCCGTCCTGCCTCCAGGCATCTGAAACCCCTAAATACTCAGTGTAAGCTGTTTGCTTGCACCTCATACGCGCAGGTAGTTACACAGTGACAGAAGGAAACAACTACCTAGAACACTCAACTGCACCCTGATAGTTCATTGAGTACTACATGTCAATAGCTGCAAAGGCTGTCAGTACTCTGTGAATGAATGAAGCGGCCAGGTGGGTGGGGCCCACACAGCTGTGGTTTTCCTAAAAATTGTGACAGCGAGTCCAGGAAGAAGATCCCCAGCTCGCTATCACTAGAGACGGGCTGGTCAGGGGAGCTGCTACAGCAGTTGGAACATGTTCCATGTTCCACCCTAAACATGGGTGGAACATATAGCATGGTTCCCAAAGGTGAACTTTTCGTTTAAAGCGTAAAGAATTAATATATTAACCCACACCTCCCAATCAGAAGTCAACAGTTGATAAGCAGTACAAAATGTGTACATAATTGTAAATGATTGTTTTTAATTTTTTTTGTAGGTGCCTGACAACCCACCAAATTACATCCTGTTCTTGAATAATTTACCTGAAGAAACCAATGAGATGATGTTGTCAATGTTGTTTAACCAGTGAGTATAGTTCATTTTATCTTCCCATTGTGAAGTTGTGTTGTGTTCTGTGATTTCAGATTACTTCATTAAGGTGTTCCAGATCTGTTACCACGATATATTAAAGTGGTAAGTCCAGCCATTTTTGTGTTTATTAAAAGACAGCAGCTACAACAGCTATAGCCTCTGACTTTTAATAAACACACTCACCTGTCCCAGGATCCAGCGATGCGCTCACCCAAGCCATCCCTTCACTCAGTCTATCCCAGGCACCGACATTTCAACTTTGGGCACCTGGCTGTGACAGCTTGTGGCTGTCAAGGCACGCTGTGCTTTGTGAATGGTCCTGCAGTCTTCTGGGTCCTGTCACATGTCCCAAAAGGCTGCAGGGGGGAGGAGAACTTCTGATCGCCTAGTCGGTCGGAGCGGGAGTGGGAGGGGATAACTGTCAAAACAAAAAAAAGTGTCATTTGGAGAAGAGGAGGGGGGGAGGAAGCTTTAAACCAGACAGAACGTCACCTTTTGGGTGGAGCTCCACTTAAGTTAACCACTTCCAGTCCGGACACTTTTACCCCCTGTCTGACCAGGGCAATTTTCAGCTTTCAGCGCTCACGTTGTGAGGAAAGTGCAGCTGATAACCGGCAATTACATTTTCCAGTGATCAGTGTGTCATTGATCACGTGGTAAAAGGCCGCTGTGATTGGCCTTTTACCACGTCGCATGATCAGTTGTTGTGTCTGTAGGACACAGCGATCACGGAGATCGCTGGGTGCGCGCCCCGGGGGGCACGCAGGAGAGCGTGTTCTGGGAGGACATCATATGACTCTCTCCCAGAATTGGCTGGCTGCAGTGAAGCCTTCATTCGGCTATCTGCGGTTGGCAAGTGGTTAAACATGACCTCGAGCCAGCTGGGAGAAGGAAAGCACAGTAATACTGTAAATGCATACAGCATGCAAAGGTCTGTATTGGATTAATTCTGGGGAAATGTTCTATAAATAAATGTTCTAGCTTTAAACATACCAGTGCTAATAAACAGCAGATAGGTGATGTCTATCACAGGACTTTCACAGGTTAGAATTGAAATGCTGAACTGAAATTCCAGCATACAAAATACCAGTCAATATATGGGCTTAGTATGATTTATGTCAGTATTACAATCATAGGAACGATGAGGGATGTAGAGAATAAGGATCAAGAAGGTTTTTTTTTTGTTTTTTTTTTTTTTTTTTTTTAAATTCCTAAAATAATGTAAATAGGGATGTGGTTTTCATCCTTGCACTTAAGGCATCTTCTCAGATGAGAAAGAAGAGGTAGGCTAGATCAGTTTTTCTCAACCTTTTTTCAGTCAAGGCACCAGTTACAATTGTGGATACTCTCAAGGCACCTCATTCTAAAATGTAAAAACTATTCTATACACATCCACACACGTAGTACACCCAACGTTAGAGGTGATTTATTCTTCCAAAGCAAATATACCTTTGTAAAGGTATAACCAGGGTGATGTGCATGTACCCATTGTCCTCCTTATCAACTCATGATAGAAGGTCATAAAAGTGAACAATTAATACCTGTGGCTTTGTGTAACTAAAAGTCAGATTGATCCACCTGCTGCTTGTATACCTATTTTGGGCAATTTTTAAACATTTTTCCAAGGCACCCTGGTTGAAAAAGGCTGGACTAGATATTCTGTTTGTCATGTGGACTTTCAAGACTGGAATGAATTTCTAAAGTGTAACATTTAATGTGACCTGTCTCTAAAAATATTAGAAGCTATAGGAGGCCTAACAGGCACGCACACATGACTGTTTTTACACTTTAATGGCTTCACAGTCTTAGTCCGTAGGGTTCAATATTGAGTTGGCCCACCCTTTGCAGCTATAACAGCTTTTAACTCTTCTGGGAAAGCTGTCCACAAAGTTTAGGAGTGTGTCTATGGGAGTATTTGATCATTCTTCCTGAAGTGCATATGTGAGGTCAGGCACTGATGTTGGACGAGAAGGCCTGGCTCGTAGTCCCAGCTCTAATCAGGGTGGATAAAAATCATTTAAAAAAAATTAAAAATGGATTTTTTTGACATTTAAATCAGATTTTTTTTTTTTTTTTTGTCAAATTTATTTTAATGTTTTTGGATTAAAAATCTATCTAAAGAGTTTTCTATTTAAGATACATTAATAATTTAGTTTATTCAGCATGAAATGGAGCTTAGTTATGTAGCATGAGGCTGTACATTCTGCAATATTTACATGGTAAACTCGTTCAATGAATCCAAGCTTTGCAAGCTGAGATAGCATGCACTGCATTGATGCATTCACACAATTTCAAAGTAACCATGAGAAAAAAATATAAAATAAAAGAATTTGAGTAGTTATGATTAACCTATTAACCTAAAATTGGTTCTGATATTGCTGTTTAATTAACCAGACAGCTTATTATTCTAAAAAGGAAACCTTAATTTGGTTTGCAAATATTAAAGATTCTAACTACCAGCAAGAATGAGTCGCATCCCTTACATTAAGGGCTAGTTCGCACTAGATGCAGTTCAGTGCGCTTTTTTTCTGCATCAAAAATGCATGCACAGTGTTTTTCATGTATTCCAATGGCCCTGGTTCACACTAGTGCAATCAGTTCCAGTCAGTTTCCGATGCAGAAAAAAAAGTAGAACATGCTGCATTATTTCTGCACAGAACCATTCTGGAACATGGTTAACTGCATCAAAACTGCACTGGAACTGCATGCGGTGTAAACTGTAAGCAAAAACGTATACGGAATACAACCAGAGTGCATTTTTGTAGTGTGAACTGGCACTTAAAGAGCACCTGTCATTTTAGATCCATCATCATCCACATGCCGCCGCCCATCCCTCGCCTTGTTGTGTCACTGCCGCATCACCAGCCATCCTATTAAAGTGAATAGCGCTGTCGGTGTGTCAACAGAGGGTCAGAGGAGGAGCCGCTGTGGGACAAACAAGACCGTTCCTCTTTAAAAATTATGATTTAAATCGAGCCTTTTCATTAGTGATTTATCATGATTTAAATCAACTTGATTTAAATCAAATCCACCCTGGATCTAATTAATCCCAAAGGTGTTCTTTCGGGTTGAGGTCAGTTGTGCAGGCCAGTCAAGTTCCTCCACCCCAAACTCACTCATCCATGTCTTTATGGACCTTGCTTTGTGCACTGGTGCGCAGTCATATTGGAGCAGGAAGGGGCCATCCCCAAACTGCTCCCACAAAGTTGGGAGCATGAAATTATCCAAAATGTCCTGGTATGCTGACGCCTTAAGATTTCCCTTCACTCGAACTAAGGGGTCAAGCCCAATCCATCAAGAACAACCCCACACCATAATCCCCCCTCCACCAAACTTTACACTTGGCACAATGCAGTCAGGCAAGTACTGTTCTCCTGGCAACCGCCAAACTCGTCCATCGGATAACCAGACAAAGAAGTGTGATTCGTCACTCCATTTAACACGTCTCCACTGCTCTAGAGTCCAGTGGTGGCGTGCTTTACCCCACTACATCCAACGCTTTCCATTGCACTTGGTGATGTAAGGCTTGGATGCAGCTGCTCGGCCATGGAAACCCATTCCATACAGCTCTCCATGTACTGTTGTGCTAATCTGAAGGCCACACGAAGTTTGGAAGTCTTTAGCTATTGACTCTGCAGACAGTTTGTGACTTATGCGCACTATGCGCTGACCCCGCTCTTTCATTTTACGTGCCCTACCACTCCGTGGCTGAGTTGCTGCTGTTCCCAGTTTCTTACACTTTGTTATAATACCACTTACAGTTGACCGTGGAATATTTAGTAGCAAGGAAATGTCACGAATGGACTTATTGCACAGGTGGCAACCTATCACAGTACCACGCTTGAATTCACTGAGCTCCCGAGAGCGACCCATTCTTTCACACGATTGTAGAAGCAGTCTGCACGCCTAGGTACTTGGATTTATACACCTGTGGCCATGGAGGTGATTGGAACACCTGAATCCAATGATTTTGGAGGGGTGTCCCAGTACTTTGGCAATATAGTGTAAATATGTATATACACCCTGAGCTGTGCAGAGGGGTGGGTCAGCAGAGGCACGGCAGTAGACTGATCATCCCACTGAAGAGCTGTGCAGGGTGGCGGGTCAACAGAAGGTTGACCAATGGAGTACAGGCACACTGTGCATTAGCAGAGCATCCTGCAGCTCCCAAGTAGATTGCCAGAAGCAAACTGGCCATGACTGATCTGTAACATTTCCCATAATTTAAGTGTAGGACTGCATGGAGAGCGCAGCCCCCTGAATGAAGGTTCATTCACTTATCTCACTTCTTTAGTACAGTACCTGGTCTAATTTGGTGTATTAGTATTAAGCAAATGTGGGTGCGGTTGTGCAGTATTACTTATATACAGAGTGTTTCTAGATGGTTCCTGGAATAGAGGACTATTGTTTTTGATTAGCTAATACCTAAGGAATCAGTATTACTTTCTTGTTTATTGTGAATTAGCAGCTGACTTTACTATCTTTTATTTCAGATTTCCTGGCTTCAAAGAGGTTCGCCTAGTTCCTGGAAGACATGATATTGCCTTTGTAGAGTTTGAGAATGAGACCCAGGCAGGCTCTGCTCGGGATGCACTTCAAGGTTTTAAGATTACACCATCTCATGCTATGAAGATCACATATGCTAAAAAGTGAAAACAGTTGCAATTTCTGGACTTTATTTGTGGCTTTTAGTTTTTCAAGAATCCATATTTCCTGTTCAAACATTGAACTTCTATAGTTATTGGTTTATGTCAGATTATCAGTTTTGTACAAATAAATGATTTTTTTTTTTTACTCCATTTGCCTAAAGCTAAAATTTGAGCCAAAATATCTAGCTTGTAAATTCTTCAATCTCGGTGCTATTTGTATATTTCTTCCAGATCTGTGTAGTACTCCAGGATGAAACAATGTCTGCACTCTGTCTCTGTGCAGGAGTGTCCTGCAATACGCACCCATTTTTGTTGCTATTTTCCCTTGTGCAGGATGGCTGGTCTTGTATTTGCATCCTTTTGTAGTTTTCTGCAGCCAGCCTGCAGTGGGATCACATGCTAGACCACACCTACAGCTTTGTTTTAAATACATGCTATGTTCATTACATGTATCATGTCACACAAATGTTTACAAGGCAATCCTGGATTTGCAAAGGTGTCTGGCGCACACAAAATGGATACATATTCCTTGTGGCAATAAGGAGTGTATTTAAATGAAAGTTTTTGTGCCTGGAGTTCAGTTTCAACTTGTGTCCTTAAGTAGAACTAATGCCAAACCTTTTTTTTTTTTTTTCCATTCGGATAGAGTACAGGAGGGTTACAACCACTCTCAGACTTAACCTCTGTATCCTAATTGGGAGATTTCCCTTCACCTCTTGTCATATCCAAAACAGGAAGTGAGAGGAAATCCTTCCAAAGTAAAGGAATCCCTCATTGTCACCAGAACTGGTGGCCCCATTGGAAGATTATCCATCTATTACTGTTCTGTGGATAACTTTCATTGATAAGTCACCAGGACAAATAGAGCATTAGAAAAAACTGACATGTCCTAACCCCTCTCTACCCTATCAAAACTAAAATAAACGGTTTGCCTTTAGTTATACTTTAAAGCAGTAATAAACCCAAGATTGTGATGTCTACATTAGTTTTCTTTTTTAGCATTTTTTTCTTCTTCCTGTTTATCAAAAGAACAAGCTCTCTTCCAGATGTATCAGTTTACAAGGATGAGACAAACACTTTACCACTGGCAGGCCTGTGTACCATGATCAGCTGTAATTTAATCATATAAAACCTTTATCCCAAAGGGAATAAAACAAAAATGTTTGCTGTAACTGATCATCAAGTGTGAGCTGGAGTTTGGCTTCACTTTGTTAGTGTACTTAAAGGGATATTAAAGGCTTGTGTTAATATAAATATATATATATATAAAAATAACAAGCACGTTATATTTACCTACTCTGTGCAATGGTTTTGCACAGATCAGCCCTGATCCTCCTTGGTCCCCCCGCTGGCACCTGTGTCCCCTCACTCCTGATTTGTTATAAGATACACTAAGCATGGCTCAGCCCCACCCATTGCTCACTCCTCACTGGCTGAGATTGGGAGCAAATGGCTCCCACTGCTGTGTTTCAGCCAATGAGAGAGTGACCTGGGAGAGCTGAGGCGACTGGGCACAGGTAAGTATTAGGGGGGCTGAGGGGGGGAGCAGCACACAGAAGGTTTTTTACCTTTATGTATAGAATGCATGAAGGTAAAAAAAAAACTTTAACTTTTACAACCATGCTAAATCTGCTACTACATTTAACACTCCCCTTTCCCTGCAAACTGACTGCTCCTGTCCGCTGTGCCCCCTGTGCTTATTCATCCAGAGTGGGGGCACTTTAATACAGGAGGTTTGTTGCTGGCCAGATCACCAAGTGAAAACAAAACCTACAAAAGAAGGCTAATGCAGCCATCACATGTAAGGCTTGTTCAGATGCAATATATTACATTTTTGTTTTTGGGTTTAATACTGCTTTATGATACAGCAAGCAGGTGCAGGTCTTTCATCCTGATCTTGGCTCTGCCACCTATTGAGTATCTGACCTAGAGCATACATGCAGATAGTGAAGTCAGGTGGTCTGCACTCTTGCCTTGCATGCTTCTTTCAGGTCCATTACTCTGTAAGCTCCCTCTTCACGCTCCAGCACCATCCCCAACTTCCTCCTTGGTCATGCCCTGGCAGTTCTCTTTGGGCAGAATGACACTCGCAGTACTCCAGTACTGAGGCTGGTAATTTATTAGAAGATGATTGCAGTCTCTGCGCTTCACATGACTCACTATTACACAGGCCTGCTGAATGCAGGCACGTAATATATGGGGAACTGAAGACCTGAAAACAAAAACAGATTTTTCTTCCCAATTCTGTTAATGCAGAGCAGAAGAGAGTACATCATCATAGCGACAAACAGCCAGAAAGTTTTCAATGTGTATGGGAAATCTGCTATAATGAACACACCTTTGTGTATTCACAACTGCAAGGCTGGACTGGCTACTGCTCAAATTGGTAGCATTACTTGGAAATGTCTGGCTTTATATACTTGGAATGAAAATATTCTGGATTTTGATTTTCCAAAGAAAGTATTCTAATGGGCTTTTTTTCTAAACTATGCAGTAACCTAAATTAACCAAACTTTTTACTCTTCATATGTATTTTGCTATTCATGCTACCTTACTGGAGACAACTGCTTGTGTTTATAACTGCCTACTCCAGCTAACAGTGGGTTGCGGGGGAAAATTGAGATTGCTAAATCAGCAAAAGTGAGTCCTGCATAGCCTCGGGCATATCTCACTGCTGCTAATATGTATTAGTCATCTAACAGTGTATTGTTGTCAGGAGTGATTTGGCTAAGTTATGACAGTAAGCACTCCTTGAGAACCCATCCAATCACAGAAGCAAATCGGTTTCCTGAACTTTTTTCCCTCATCAATTCTCTAATGTAATGGTAGCTATGGAATGTGGTGATCAGAATACGAAGTTTCCATAAATATGAGCAATTATTTTAGGCAACTCAGAAGCTATCCATAACGTTCACCCAGAAAAATTCATTTAAAGTACATTTTAGGCCACGCAGATATTCTAAGAAATTACCAACTTGAGTTCCTATGTGATGCACAACCTCATAAACTGAACAAAAACCTTCCTTTACTTTGGCTGACCGAGTCTAGTACTTATTAACATACTTACCCTTCCAGACACTGCATTGCTTAGTATGAGGGAATAAGCAACAGAGGCATTCTGCCAGTCTAGAAAGCAGTGGGCAGGACTAGATGTGGCTAGGTGCAGATTTACAAGCTTTCGGTTTGTGATTCAGCAGTGATCATGCTGATAATGGCGCCTTCCTTCAACTAGTGCGAACAGGGACAGACTATGTGAGAATGACAACTTTGCTCTGAGCCTTTAGGAGCAGTGCAGCATTGTTGCCACACCATCACAGAAAGCTGCATTAGGTGGACTTCATTGGCAGGATCAATAGTAGTGGGACTATACAGGGGAACTATTAATGAAGTGTAGATACACCTATATTTAGGTGCTGCATCAAATATTTTAGGAAGGGGGACTATAGTTCTGCTTTAAACAATTACCTGCCACAGATCAGCCAGACAGTGGATGTCTGCAGAAGTTAAAGTGGTTCTAAAGCCTGAAGGTTTTTTACCTTAAAGCGATTCTAAAGGTTTTTTGTAATATAAATGTCTACATTTACCTGCTGTGTGCAGTGGTTTTGCACAGAGCAGCCTGGATACTCCTCGGGTCCCCCAGAGGCTCTCCTGGTTCCTGTCTGCTGAGTTCCCCCAGTGCAAGCAGCTTGCTATGGGGGCACCCACTGCTCTGTGTATCCATTCACACATGGGCCCCCCACCCCTCTCATTGGCTGACTGGCTATGATTGACAGCAGCGGGAGCCAATGGCTCCTGCTTGCTTTCTTGTCCAATGAGGCAGAGACTTGGGACAGCCGTGGCTGTCATTCACTTCGCTGGATAGTGATAGGGCTCGGGTAAATTTGGGGGGGCTGGGGGGGAGCTGCTGCATACAAAAGGTTTTTTACCTTCATGCACAGAATGCATGAAGGTAAAAAACCTCCAGCCTTCAAAGGATATGTTCACCTTTGGTAACATGTTACCCCCCCCCCCCCCCCCTCCTGATTTCTGCTTTGACAGCTAGTGGGGGATTTTCTCCCCCCTCGCTAACTGACAGATTTTTAAAAAAGTGGCTATGTGGGGCCCCTCCCACACAGCTGCGTCATTCATTCACAGTCGTCTGTGAATGAGAGACTACAAGTCCAGACAGACTTAGCTGCTGTCATCTTGTAGTCCTCTGTGAACTAATAGTTCATTCTTTCTGTCAGTATATTTTCTCGTACATCCTGTATGAGCAAGCAGATATACTGGCAGATCTGCAGGAGACCTGATGCAATTGTTTACAGGCTGCTGCAGACAAAAATAATAAACGTGCATTTATTATTTTTTTTCTAAAAGGTGAACTTATTCTTTAGTGCATTCTCTGCAATAATATACAGTTGTGTCCAAAATTATTCAACCCCCACTGAAATTGAGTGTTTTGGCCAGTTTGACATTGCTTTTGATCATTCAGTCATCTTGCTTACATTTACATTAAAGAGGCACTTGTAGGTCAGACAAATATAACATAACAGTTATAATGAAATAACCACAAATGTCTTTTCTGTGCTCCACAGCATTATCAGTTTTATTCAACCCCCAAGTGACATTCAATCTTAGTACTTAGTACAGCATCCTTTTACAGTTATAACAGCTTTTAAACGTGAAGCATAGCTTGACACAAGTGTCTTGCAGCGATCTACGGGTATCTTCGCCCATTCTTCATGGGCAAAGGCCTCCAGTTCAGTCACATTCTTAGGCTTGCGCACTGCAGCTGCTTTCTTTAAGTCCCACCAGAGGTTCTCAATCGGATTTAAGTCTGGTGACTGCGATGGCCACTCCAAAATGTTCCAGCCTTTCCTCTGCAACCATGCTCTAGTGGACTTGGAGGTATGCTTGGGATCATTGTCCTGTTGAAAGGTCCAACGTCTCCCAAGCCTCAGGTGTGTGACGGACTGCATCACGTTTCCATCCAATATCTCCTGGTACTGAAGAGAATTCATGGTA